TTTTTGTTTTGTTTTGTTTTGTTTTTATAAAGAGATTTTTGCATTAAGGCATGTGCAGTCACCAGAGAGAGACAGAAACAATGACAGAGAAAGTGAGAAATCACCCCCCAGGGGACTGGCCATGCTGCAATCCCTTTTCTACCCAGGATTCTGGGCTTTCAAGCCACAGGGTCTGGGACTAGAATCATGGTCAGTCATGTGGGAGTCCAGTGACATAACTATTATGTCATCTGCTGGCCTAGAGGCTGAGTTACAAGTTGAGAAGAACCTTGGTTTTCTCTGTTAGCCTGGTGCTTGTTTAAGAAATCACTCCTAGGGCCAGCCAGTGCCATGGTGGTTAAGGTGGCTGGATCCCACATGCCCAACTGCATGATTTGAGTCCCAGACCTGCTGGCTTAAAAAACATACTAGGCACATATGCATGTGTGTCCAAAATCCTGAAAGAATGGAGAAGGGATTGTGGCATGGCCATACCCTGAGGGGTGCTTTCTTACATTTCCCCCATGTGCGTGCGTGTACATGTGTCTCCAGTGAGACACATGTATCCTACAGCAAATTAAAAAGAAAGAAATCATCTCCCGTCTGACTCACAGGCATCTCAAGTGATTTTCTCTAGCACCTCATCCCCCCACTCTTCTCCCACTCTTTTGTTCATTTCCTTTTTTTTTTTCTGTAAGTCTGTAGTTTTCTATCAGATCTGTCCTAAGCACTGCATTAGGACCAGCTGGAGGGCCTTCTCCCAGCATCTTTACTCGGTCTCATCTGCAGAGGTGTATAACATTCAGCATTGCTTTTCTTGCCAGAGGGCATGTTTACCACAGACAGAAAAAGAGAGAACATGAAAGAGAGAGTGAGAACTCCCTAATGGAACATGGTCACACACCAATCCCTTCTCCATCTTTTAGGATTTTTGGGCACCCACCCACATACATGCTAGGCATGCCGACGTCGGGATTCGAACTGTGGTCAGCCATGTGGGATCAGGCTCCCAAGGCACAGTGCTTAAGTGCTGCACCATGGTGCCAGCCACCCTCAATCTCTCTTTGTCAGTTCTCTCTTAAATTGTGATCTATTACAGAGAAAAGGAAATTTTGCTCTGCTCTCAAAGGTTTCTTGCTACTCTCTGCATCCAAAGATCCACAAGAATAGGTCTCCATCTTTGACTATCATAAAGATCACCTGCCCGAAAAGTTTTTATGCAGTGTTAAATACAAATACATCTAGGGACCAACAGATGGTGTAATGGCTACATCGCTGGACTCCTGTGTAGTCGACTGTGGTTTGAGTCCCAGACCCAGCGGCTTAAACTCACATTGGGTGCATGTGTGTGCATGCCCAAGATCCTGAGAGGAGAATGGAGGAGAAGGGATTGTGGCATGGCCATCCCCCCTGGGGGGTGATTTCTTGCTTTCTGTCTCTCTGTCTCTCTCTGTCTTTCTGGTGAGCGCATGCATCCTATAGCAACAACCTCTCAAAAAAACATATATATATATTCACATCTAAAACTCAGTTTATTTAATATGTTATGGTAATTCTTATACTAGCAAGACAAGCATAATAATGTTAAACAGAAATAGTACAGTTTGGCTCCAGAAATAGGAGTTGAAAAGCACCAATTGCTGCAACAGGGTTTTAGTTATAATCCCCCAACAAACCCCTTGTGAGGAGCTATCATCAGTGGGGGGAGAGTTTCCACTAGCAAAGAGTCTTTAATGACAAACTCAGAGTCAAGTGTTCCTTCAGATGTTTTTGGCTGGTGTCCCAGAACTAAAAGTCAGGATCGAGTTTATACTAAGGTTCACTACTCAGAATTTTGCTACAAGGTTTAGGGGAAAACTGAGGGAACTCAGTTTCCTGCAGGGAATTAGTGACATTTTCAGAAAGGATGGAAACCATCATTTTGATTGAATCAACCAGTTCATTTAAGCTCTGTCTAGAAATGTCTGTGAGAAGAACTTAAGAGAAAGCTCTGTTAGAACAGCCATTTGGCATCTGCTGCCTGACTTCATTGAATGTAGTCACACTACTTTGAGTTTATAAACATAAAGTGAACTGAATTAATTAAAACAACAACAACAGGTTGTCTGCAGAGATAGAACTGCAGAATTTTAGGTCAGAGAGATAAGATCCAGCCCCTTCCCTCTATTTCCAAGGTTTCTTTTTTTTTTTTTTTCACTATTGGGCACGTGTGCTCGCCAGACAGACAGAGAGAGAGACATAGAGACAGAAAGCAAGAAATCATCCTCTGGGGGGATGGTCACGCCGCAATCCCTTCTCCTCCATTCTCCTCTCGGGATCTTGGGCACGCACGCACACGCGCCCGGCGTGAGTTTTAAGCCACCGGGTCCGGGATGCGAACCGCTGTCGACTACGTGGGAGTCCAGCAACATAGCCATTACACTAACTGCTGGTTCCCTATTTCCAAGGTTTCTAATTGACAGGAACAGTTTGATTTCCAGTGTGAATGTGGGACACAGTGAAGATAAACACACACACACACCGTTATATTTTGGTTATCATTTAAGCCTCTGTTAAATCTTCTACATTTCTTTTTTTTCCTATTCACTCACTTAGTCATTCATTCATTCCAACAATACATTTTCCCACAGGAGTTAGGGATGGCTTATTTCCAGGACATATGTATCACATACTTAATCTCTTCCGTTTTTAATTTTGTTCTTCAAACAGATAGCATACGTTTTATTATTAGCAGCACATTTCCATGATTAGAATAGCACCGTTATAGGGCCAGTCCATGGCCTAGCAGCACATTTCCATGATTAGAATAGCACCATTATAGGGCCAGTCCATGAATTGGTGGTTATATGAGCGCATCCCACATGGCCAACTGCACTGTTTGAGTTGAAAAAATGCTCAGGCACATGTGCATGTGTGCCCCAAATCCTGAAAAGAAGAAGAAATGGAGGAGAAAGGACTGCAGTGTGACCATTCCCTGTAAGGGGTGCTTTCTCACTCTCTCTCCCTCTCTCTCTCTCTCTCTCTCTCTCTCTCTCAATTCCTAGCAAGTGCACAAGTTCTCTGGCCAATTAAAAATAAACTATTAAAAATATAACACCATTATAGACATTCTTTTAGGCTAGGACCAATCTCTTCCCAGTGTTCTATAGCCATCTTTATTCTCACTGAAAGCAAAATGTTCACTTTATGGACTGACTTCTCTATGGCTCTTTTGCCCTTTTAAGGAAGCATGCCCTCGAACACTTTGGAACAATCCAGGTTACTTTAAATAGTTCTACTACCGTCTCTACCACACCTTAACTCTTCTGGTGATGCACCTTTCATTAAAAAAAAAAAAAAGCCAGCTCTATAAGTTAATAACCATAAAGGTCTTTACCAATGCTGGAACCTGTTTAATTGCTTTCCTCTAAGGAGCCAAGGGAAGTATATTTCTAATTTTATCTGACCTTTGGGATTTTCCACTCTGTCAGTTTGAAGTCTGTGGGAGGCCAAGAGAGAAAATGAACAGCTGGCTAAAAGAAAGAAAGGTGTTATTATAACTAAAAGCAACCATGCTAGGGAGGTAAGGAACAGCCACACTCATTGGATTACAGGAGCAATCCTTTATTCAGAGTGGCTGTCCCAGGGTAACCGGAGTGCTTCATAATCGAATCCCTTAAGATTTAACACTCTCACCTACCGCCTAATCATTCACCCCCTTTGTTGGAGAAGCAAAAGTATCTATATATTTTGCAAAATTGATGGCATGAAGCCCAGAAACTATGGCATAATGTATCACAGAATAATATTTGAGCCTAGGGTTATAAATACTGCGTGTCACCTCTGGCATATATTTAATAGAGACAGCCTGTATCTAGTATGATAAGAACAGTACAGTACTTAGAGCTACAGTTAATAACGTGCAACTGTGTACCATGGAGAAGGAAATGACTACAAGAACGTTGAAAGGGTTTTAATTAATTTGTCTTGGTGCACAAGGAGCTACTTGCATAAATACATTTCTGTGGCTTGGGTGTAACCTACATCTTCTTGCACTCCTCCTCATAATTCACTCTAATGGCTGGAACAACCCCAACTCAGAAAAAGACAGTTTTGTTCTGGCATTTATTATTACTGCTGGAGTGAATGGATGGCAGTGACAACAATTTATAGGCATGCGGTCTTCACACCAGTGCTGCTCCTACTTTGATGTTCACCTACACATCTTATTTATTTATTTATTTATTTTTTTCGAGAGATATTTGCTAGAGGGCACGTGTGCTCACCAGAGAGACAGAAAGACAGAAAAGGAGACATTACCCCTGGGGGGATGGCCAAGCCACAATCCCTCCTCCTCCATCCTTCTCTTGGGATGTTGGGCACACACGCTCACATGCTTGGTGTGAGTTTAAGCGGCTGGGTCCTGGACTTGAACCATGGTCGACTACATGGGAGTCTAGTGATGTAATCATTATGCCATCTGCTGGCTCCACAGATCTTATTAATGAAATACAGATTCTGACTCAGTCGTTCTTGGACAGACCTGGGACTCTGCATTTCTAAGAAGCTTTCAGGTGATAATAATGTTTCCGGTCCTTGGACCCCACTTTGAGTAGCAAGACCTTTTAACATGACCAACATGGCATTTGAAGTAAGTGCCCTGCCCTAAGTTAGAACACCCATGTTTTCACCAACACTTACACTCATCTAAGAATATATATATACATTTTTATTTTTTTAAGAGAGATTTTTTGCTATAGGGCATGTGCACTCACCAGAGAGACAGAGGAACAGAAAGTGAGAAATCACCTCCCAAGGGGGGATGGCCACACCGCAATCCCTTTTCCTCCATTCTCCTCTCAAAACCTTGGGCATGCATGTACACGCACCCCAGCACGAGTTTTAAGCCACCGGGTCCAGGACTTGAGCTGCGATTGACTACATGGGAGTCTAGTGACATAACCATTATGCCACCTTCTGGTCCCTACATTTATCTAAGAACATTAACAAGTGAGTTTATTTCTCTCTTGACAATCACTTACCTTATCAGTGAAGCCTATAATCCTGAAGCAATGCTGAATTGCCTCAAATTGTCTTCTGTAAGACTCCTTGGAAGTTATGTCGTGGATCACTCTTCCAGTTTCATCAGCTATGTACCTAAGTGAAGTGGAATATGACCGAACACAGTGAGTTTTGACTTGAAAATGGGCATCTCACATACCAGGACAGATGCCACGTGGGCTCCTTCTTCACAAAGGCATTTCCTGGGTCCAGCAGATTGCATAGCAGTTATGTTGACTGACTCTCACATGGCTGATTGTGGTTCGAGTCCCAAACCTGGTGGCCTGAAAATCACGCCACTAAGTCTGCATGCATACCCAAGATCCTGAGAAGAGAAGGGACTGTGGCATGGCCATCCCCCCCGGGAGTGATTCCTCATTTTCCTTCTCACTGTCTCTCTCTCTCTTCCGCAAGCACATGTGCCCTAACGCCTAAACCTCTTTCCAAAAGCAAATAAATTTTTAAAAAGGCATTTCCTTTGCCGTCTAATACCAAGCAGAAATAAAGGTGTATATGGCTGAGTAGCATGAGCACAACTGCAGTTAAGTTTCTGAACTTTCTAGAAAATGCAAAGGCTGAGAGAGGTCGTTTTGCCACCACACCCCAGATATTTCAGTTAAATAGACTGAGGTTACAGTTAGGTAAACAGCTTCGTTTACTTCCAGGTTTGGCAATTATGAGTTATACCCTGACACTTACCTGGGAGGCTTTTCCTCAGGAAGTCTGAATTCAGAAAGTTTCTTTTGGTGATAAAGACCAGCATAAATATAATAAAATATATGAAAATTTTTCTCTCCCCTGAAATAACAGGAAACATATTAATAACATATTCTGGCTTCCCCTGCCCTAAGTAATTTACCTCTTCCCTCTTGCACAAAATATTCCATAGCAAATTGACATTTTCAGGCAATTAAATATGCTACATTCCAATTATGAATAGTAACAGTGATAAGATTAGTATCACGATTATATCACAATGGTACATTATCAAGCACACTTATCTTTCTGACAAGCATAAGGAGGTTTTAGATAATGGAATATTTACAGGTTACTGCTCAGGTTACACAAGCCTAGAGATCTTTCTATTCCAGCCCAAACATGTATTCATTTGTGCCATCTGCCCTCTGTTTGCAGCCCCCCTTGCTTCAGAGACAGTGAGGTCCAGCTGACAGAAATGTGCCCCATCCCTACTTTCCTGGAGCCCCATCCAGGACGTGGTTTGCCAGTTCTACAGTAAGTTAAGGGGTAGAACTGACCCCAGAATTGGCACTCTTCTATATTGGCATGCTTTCAAATACCACTCAAGTGTCATTGATTAATTCCAGTGATCGCTTGCTGTTTCTCTTTTTATGTTCTTTAAAAATCATTTATTTATTTAATTCCATTTGTTATTATTATTATTTTTCAATTTGATCAGACAGAGACAGAGAAAGAAAGGAAAAGAAAGCAAGAAATCAAGCTGCCAGGTCTGAGACTCGAACCATGGTTGGCCCTGTGGGAATCCAGAGCCTTTAACCACGCCATCTGCCAGCCCTGTTTTTTTCCTTTAAAGAATTATTTTTATTTAACTTTATTTATTTATTTATTTTAATTTGACCAGAAAGGGACAAAAAGGGGGGGGGGAGGTGAGAAAGTGAGCCGCCAGGTCTGGGGCTGGAACTGCGTTGGGCCATGTGAGAGTCCAGCACCCTTAAATATCACGCCACCTCTGCCAGCCCTGCTGTGCCCCTTTTGTAGATCACTCTGGCCAGGATCAGATAGATGCTATGCTAAGCGTGATCTATGAGCTGGTGTCAGCTCCGACCAGAGAAGGAACTGAAGTATTGATGCCTAAGTGTTTCAGAGCCAATGACAGTGCCGTAACATCCAAGGACATGGCCATTTCCGATCATTTATTTTCATTGCATTTTACAAAGGTATCAGTTCACCATGGATTGGGGATTTCAAAAACCTTATCTTCAGCACAGAACATGTGAAAAGTGTTGCATTTCCAGGTCTGTTTCTTGCCTCAGGAGAAAAGCAGTTGTTTCTGTTCATCTCCTCCCCCAGCACGCCTCCCTCCCAATATTGTGGCAAATCCTCCCAGTCAATGTACCTCTGTGGAAACAATCTTGTCCTCCTTCTCTGCTTAACCCATCTGTGACATGGCCCACGCTCCTCTTCAGCCTCTCCTCATTATCCTCATATTCCTTTGGTTATTTATCCTGTCAGAGTTCTTCTGATGCATTCTGATCTCTGCCCTGTGTTCTAGAAGCCTTTACTTGCCACTTTTCACTCAACAAATGCATTTATTTTTAAAGAATTATTTATTTAATTCTGTTTGTTATTACTATTTTTTAATTTGACCAGAGAGAGAAAGAGAGAGAGAAAGCAGGTCACTCTAACTGTAGTCAGCCCTGTAGGAGTCCAGTGCCACTATGCCACTTGCCAGTCCCAATACTTTTATTTTTTATTCATTGTTATTTCATTTTAAATATCTCAATGTTATTTTTCCTCCTTTATACCACAGGGAAGCTTAAACACATGTACACACATGAGAAAGAGAGAGCAGGCATCCTCCAGTGGAGCCTGGTTACTCTGTAGCACTTCTACCTGCCATTCTCAGTCCCCTCTGATCCTGAGCACAGCCTCCAGGGGAGCCTGGTTACACTGTAACCCTTCTTCCTCCCATTCTCAGTCCCCTTGGGATCCTGAGCACATGGGCCACACCAGGCCACACCTGGCTTATTGCCTCTGGGGCTGGAAATGGAATCCCAGTCAGCTATGTGGGATCTGACTGCCTCTGTAGGGTGCTTAACAGTTACCCTCTGGGACTGGCCCTAACTTTAATTTTTTAAAAACACATTTTATTGTGTATATTTAAGGTATATGACATGATGTTATGGGATATGTATAGTTAAAGGATTGCTATTTAACTAACAACTGTATCGAGTGCCAATCATGGCAGGCACTGTGCTGGGTGCCATAGACGTAGAACTAAAACATTTACGCTCTCTTGAGGATCCCCTCTTGTAACGGAGTTGTATAAAAACAACAAGGGAACTTGCGATGTGGGCTTGGGAATAAACAAGCAAGGGGCTGAGGTTAAGAATAATGTTGGGGAATGAGGGCTATTTCTGTCATCAGAGGGAAACAACCAAGGAAATAACGCTTAGGTAAAACCCTTGATGCATAAGAGGGAGCTGGAAGGAGCCTCAAAGAGGGAGAAGCATTCCAAACAGAAGGAGCAGCACAGACACAAAGGCTCTGAAAACAGAGCCCACAGAGGGCCAAAGGACACCAGTGAGGAGCTAGTGGATAGCAGTCAGGGCCAGACCATACAAGGCCTTGTGAGGCTGTATTGAGGACTTGGCTGATTAAACAATTAAAATTATTTTTCTAAATAATTATTTAATTTTATTTGTTACTATTATTATTTTTTTTAAATTTGCTTTAGGGCATGTGTGCTCATTAGAGAGAGACAAAGAGCGAAAGTGAGAAAGCAAGCCTGGTTTGGGGCTCCAACTGTGCTTGGCCATGTGGGAGTCCAGCACCTTAACCACCATGCCACCTGCTGGCCTCAAACAATCAAAATTCTTTGAAGTGTTTTAAACTGGAGCTGGGGTGCACTGTAAGTGCATGACACAAATCAATTTGTGTTTAAGAAGTGTTCTCCAGCTGCAGGGGAAGACCAGATCGGAAGGAGCTGGAATGAATGCAAGGCGACAGTTAGGTGGTCCAGGTGAGAAAGCATAGCGGCTTAGATAGGGTAATGGCAGTGGTAATAGAGAATAAGAGTAAGCTCAAATATATTTTGAAGAAACAGTCAAAAGAATGTCCTGGCATGGAGAAAAGGTGCTGGATCCCACATGGCCAACTGTATGATTTGAGTACTGGCCCTGGTGACCTGAGAATCACACAGGACACATGTGTGTGTGCATGCCCAAAATCCCAAGAGGAGAATGGAGGAGAAAGGCTTGTACCGTGATCATGCCCCCTGGGTGATGATTTCTCTCTCTCTCTCTCTCTCTCTCTCTCTCTCTCTCTCTCTTTCTGTCTCTGGCTAATGCATGTGCCCTGTAGCTAAAACAAACAAACAAAAAAGAAGATCTTGACTGACTGACTGAGGACAGTGAGGGAGAGGAGCTGGAGTCAGCCTCCCAAATCTTTACTCGGGCATGTGGTGATGATGGCACCATTCACTGAGACCAGAAAGAGCATGCCTGGTAGGAATAGCACTTGCTCTTTAACCTCTGTGAAATGTGCAGGCTTTGGCTGGCCCATTTCAGGCTTACCTTCTTGTAGTTTTGCTGCAAATACTTCTAGTTCTCAATTCTTCCAAGCTTTTCCAGCCAACATCCATCCCTAGCATAATCCAGTTTGACTTTTATCCCTTTATCTGTCCTGACTGGCTAGGTTTTGTTGCAGTAACAAACGTCAGATCTTAGTGGCTTAACTCAAAAAAAGGCTTCCTTCTTGCTCAGAGTCCATGCTGGGTCGGCAGTGTGGCTGTGCTCATTGTAGTCACTGGTGGCTCCAGGCTGACAGAGCAAACACTATCTTACACTTTGCCAGACTCTGGGGAGTTGTCATTAAGTGTCCATGTGCCTGAACTGGTCATGTGACCATACCAGTCACAAGGAGGCCAAACAGGGGAATCCAGCAGTATACTTAGAAGGAGCCGAACCAGAAAGATTACAAGGACAGGACCCACGCAGACCCATGATCTCTTTATTCCACCTAACTCTCATGACAGCACTGCAAGGTTGGCGTTGTCATGCTGTATAGCACGTGAGAAAAGTACGAAATAGGAATATTTGTGTTAACAAGTGATTTACCACAATAAGTGACATAGCCATGGGTGAAACCCTCCTCTCGTTATCTTTCTAAAAGACCACTTTACAGAGCCAGCAGGTAGCATGGTAGTTAAGGCGCTGGACTCCCACAGGGGGACCACAGTTAGAGTCCCAGACCTGGCCGCTTGCTTTCTCACTTTCACTTTCTCTCTCTGTCTTTCGAGAACGTATGCCCTGTAGAGAATTAGAAAATAATACCAGTGATAAATAAAATTAAACGAGCAATTCTTTAAAAAAGACCACTTTCCATTTGAACACAGAATACTATTGCTTTCATTCTGTCAGAGATATCTCTCTAAACTTTAAAATTATCCTAACTTGAGGAGAAAGAAGTAGGGAAGCTCATCAAAATTAATCAAGAAGCCACAGGGAAGCTTAAATGACTCTCCCTCTTATTGTTCATTCGTTTAATGTTCACACCAGTCCCTACTGTGTGAGAAAGCTGGACACTCATGATAGAGGAAGATGCTTGGGTCCCTAACCGGGAACACATGCTGTGGACTCTACTTGCTCAGTGCCTCTGAGACTCCTCAACTTCTTTCCACCCTCCCTGCTTCAACCCTGGTCCAGGCACATTTTTCTTGCAACAGTACTTCTACTGCGAGGCTCACCTCACTGTCTTTCTGACACGGATCTGGCAACCCCCTTCTAACAGTGTCAACACGACCCCTCTTGCATCTCTTCCCATTTATTTGCTCACTAAAGCCAGTGTGATCATTTCAAGAGGCATGCAAGGTTTGTTGACTGCCCTGTTGAAAATACTCAACAGCTTCCTTGCATGCTTTAAAACAGAGTTCAAGGTGTTCAGCCTGCCTCCAAAACCCTATGTGATGTGGTCTCAGTCTCATCTTTGCTACCCTGTCCCTTCCTGTCCCCACCTTGCTGACTACTTCTTAGTGATCTCAGGCTGTACAATGCCGTACATACAGAGAGCCCCTCTCTTCCTGGACTAGGTTAGGTGCCCATCCCTTCTCTTTCGCTTTCACAGCTCCTTACATTACTTCCTGCTATTAACCCCAACTGTTCTACATTAAAGTTTAATGCTTGTGATCCTACCCTACCCTCCTCTATGCAATGTTTACTCCCATTTCTGTGAATGCAAGACTTTGGTCTGTTTGGGTTATTCAATAACACATGGGTGTATATGTGTGGAGCCATCCTCCCGAGAAATTCTGTGTCCTGCAATAATTATTATATTACTATAAGAAGTGACTAATACTCTGAAAGCATGTACCACATCATGCATTCTTTTAAATAACTTCACGTAAATAAACACATTAATCCTCATAACAACCTAGTGCTGGTAGTAGCATCTCCATTTCATAGAAGAACCTCAGAGAATTAGCGGCATGACCAAGGTCACACAGTGAGGTGTCAAAGCCAGCCTTTGAGCCCTAGGCAAAGTCCATGCTGTTGATTAGTATTACTGTACTGTTCTTCTTAGAATAAGTGTTCTTTTTTCCTCTCTATAAACCTAGGGGAGAGGTGAACACATGAAATATTTTTAATGCATTTTTTTATTGAAAAGTTCAAATTTAAGGGATTTACTGCTTTTATAAATTGAAAAAAAAATAAAAAAACTATTGCTGGAGTATATGTGTGCTTGCCAGACAAAGACAGAGAGACAGATACAGAGGGAGAAAGAGAAGGAAAGTGAGAAAGGCCTCCCCACAGAGGATGGTGACATCATCCTTCTCTTCCATTTCTCTTTTCAGGATTTCGGGCACACATGCACATATACCCAATGTGTTTTCCAAGCCCTCCGAGCCTAGGACTTGAACCACAGTCAGCCTTGTGGGATCCAGTTGGCTTAGTCATCATGCCACTGGCTAGCCCAGGATCTAATGATTGTTTAGTGTCTGCAATTCTCTTAGATTCTACCCAATACAACCAATTCAGGAGAAACGGGCATATGTATCCCAAAAGTACTCCCGCTTTAGTCCTTAGTACTCTGCTCTTAAACATCTTTTAGGTCAAAAACTACCACTGATCCTTTGCTTAGATAACCCCTTTCCTTATGGAGGCTGGGGGACTGCTAAACATGAGTGTAAAAATGGAGTCATTAAAATCCCCAAAGCCTTCCCATTCATTTCACAGAGCGAAAACAGAGTGATAAGGTAGTGCACCTACACTGCCTGCTTTATAACTCTAGACTTCTCAAGGAGGTATTCAGAGATTCTTGCCCCCATCACAGCTCCAGTTGGTGTAAACATCATTTCCAGGTATTTTCCAAAGCGGCTTGAGTTGTCATTGATGGCAGTGCATGCATTCCCAAAGGCTTCCACCAGGGAGTTGACTTGCAGGATTTTCTCTCTCAGGGTCTGATTATCAGCCTGTGCCAAACAGAGCACAGTCAAGAGGAGCCTCCAGAAACATCCCCCCCGCCCCAGCAAAGTTGCCAGGACCCTCTCAGCAAAATTCTCATTGTCTTTTACTTCCATTTTAGGAAATTAACATCAACCACCTCAGATGAACAATTCCCCAGCTACGCATGAATCAGATTAGGCTAGATTAACACAGCAGGTTATTTAAGGTTTTTACCTTACAGTATGTGTGCTAGACAAAGAGGGAAAGTGAGAAATCACCCCCTTGGGGGATGGCCATGTCACAATCCCTTCTTGTCTACTCTCCTCCTGGAATTTTGGGCACATACACATGTGCTTAGCCTGATTTTCAAGCCACTGGGTCCAGGATTTAAATTGCACTCAACCATGTAGGAGTCCAGAGCTTTAACCACCATGTTACCTGCTGGTCCCAATATAGCAGTTTTTAAATCCAGCCCCACTTCATTAAAAACCCTTGACATAAAATGCCTAAACAATTTAGAAAGGATGGGAACCAGCAGTTAGCGTAATGGCTATGTCGCTGGACTCCCACGTAGTCGACCGCGGTTCGTGTCCCGGATCCGGTGGCTTAAAACTCACGCCGGGCGCGTGTGCGTGCGTGCCCAAGATCCCAAGAGGAGAATGGAGGAGAAGGGATTGCGGCGTGACCATCCCCCCTCGGGGGTGATTTCTCGCTTTCTGTCTCTATGTCTCTCTCTGTCTGTCTGGCGAGCGCACGTGCCCTACAGTGAAAATCTCTCCAAAAAACAATTTAGAAAGGATTTTAGAAGTATCCCATAACTTCTCTCATTCATTCATTCATTCATTATAAGTCAATAAACTTCGTCTGTAAAAAATATTCTTTAAATTCTTTCCAAGTCATAGAATATAGTCATCCCTTTGTTTTCACAGGGCATTGGTCCCAGGAATCCCTGAGGACAGCAAAATCTTTTATAAAATGGGGTAGTATTTGCATATAACACATGCATACCCTCTTGAGTACTTTAAGTCATCTCTCGATGACTTATAGTACCTAATACAATGGAAATTTATGTCAATGGTTCTTATACCATACTGTCCAGGAAATAATGATAAGAAAAAAAGTTCAGTACGTGTTCAGTAACACACAACTCATTTTGAAGAGAGATTTGTTTTACTATACAGCATGTGTGCTTGCTGGAGAGACAGAAAGAGAGAGACAGAAAGTAAGAAATAACCGACAGAAAGGGGGATGGCCATGCTGTAATCCCTTCTCCTCCATTCTCCTCTTGGGATTTTGGGCACACATGCACATGAGCCCAGTGTGAGTTTCAAGCCTTGGGTCAGGAACTCGAACTGCCATCAGCCATGTGGGAATCCAATAACATAACCATTATATCATCTGCTGGTCCCAACACAACCAATTTAAATATATATATATATATATTCTATATGTTGTTAGTTAACCCCATGAATATGGAACCACAAAAACCATAGAGTCAACTGTATGCTAATTTCGAGTATAAGTAACTACTAGACCATTTTTTTAAAGTCATTCCTTCAATATCCATTTCAGCAAGGGAAACTTTTCATTTCTCTCTATTTTTGATCAAAGATTTCTATTTTCTACCCCTTTAATCACTGCAGTGGCTCTCCTTGATCCTGTTCCTAGTGTTTAACCACTTTTATTACTTAATGGCTATATATTTCTATTACATTGAAAACACGTTAAATTAATTGCCGATAATCTAGTAAATTCGTGCTGGCATTATTTCCCTCACTACATGAAAGCAGGATGCCATGCTGACATCTTAAGAGGCCTAGCTATCAGGAGGCAGACATAACAAAGATGGAATGTTTTTATGTAACCTCTAATAAAAACAGTACTGCTATCATCTATAAAATATGTAGTTACTCTCTAGGAACATCTAGCCGCAATACAGAAAGCAATCAGCCAATACCTTTCCCAAGAAAGTCAAATGCTGAACAATCAGGTGAGCACTTTCTGTCTTCCCAGAGCCACTTTCTCCACTGATGACAATGCACTGGCACAGAAAATGGAGCATCAGATAAAGAATTCACAGCACAGGAACAACTTGTGTATTCAGCTACAGTTTCATGGAACACCCACTACTGCACAAATTAATTTTTCACTGAGCAATATATCTTAGGAATCTTTCCACTTCAGTCCATGGAGAGTTTCTCCGACCTTTCTTCCAGCAGTTTGTTGTCCAGGATACAGATGTACTGTGATCTGTTTACCCAGTCCCATATCGATGGAGACTCGAGATTTGCTTTCATTACAAGAAATAATGCAATGGATAATCCTATCTGTAGGTCACTATATGTATATGCAGGTTCATTTGCAGAATAAATTCCCAGAAATGGAGATGTTGGATAAAAAGTAAACACATTTGTAAACTTGAAAGATACTGCCAAATTGCTTCCCTAAGAACTATACCAATATATGAAAGTGTCTGCTCTCCTACAACTTTGCCCACAGAGTACACTTTGTTTTTGCCAATATGATAGATAAGAAATGGTATCTCAGAACAGTTTTAATCTGTATTTCTTTTGAGTGAGGTTGAACATTTTCCTATGTGTTTAAGATTTATAGTTTCTTGGGGGCCGGCAGGTGGCATGGTGATTAAGGGAGTTGAACATGGCTAACCGTGGTTCAAGTCCTGGACCTGGTGGTTTGCCTTCTCACTTTCCCTCTCTCTCTCTCTCTCTCTCACTCTCTGTCCCTCTTTGGTCAGAATTAAAAAGAATAAATAAAGTTAAATAAAATAATTCTATTTTTTAAAAAATTATATTTTCTTTTTCATGACCTGTACATATCTTTTGTCTATTTTTTACTTTTATTGCATTCTTGATCTTTAGTTGTTCATTTTAGGAGTTTTTTTGTTTGTTGGCTTTCTGGTTTTTTTTAGAGAGAGATTTTTGCTATAGGATGTATGCGCTTGCCAGAGAGACAGAGAGAGAGAAAGTGAGAAATCACCCCTCAGTGGGGATGGCCACGCCACAATCCCTTCTTCATTCTCCTCTTGAGAATTTAGGCACATACGCACACCGGCCCAGCATGAGTTTCAAGCCACTGGGTCTGGGACTCAAACTGTGGTCAGCCATGTGGAAGTTCAGCGCCTTAACCACTACGCCACCTGATGGCCCCTCACTTTAGGAGCTTTTTATGTATTGGTCATTGGAAAAGTCATGATGTATTTTTTCTGTTTTTCTATGCAAAAATGTGTCATGACTTTTATCACTGCCCAATATAAAGAAAATCAGTGGGTGTAGTATAATGAAGATTACATATATGGTCTTTGTCCCTGATTTCTGGCCTAGAGCTCCTAAACCTTTGGAATTCCCTGAGTGGTGGGAGTAATAGGAGCATCTTTTGTTACTCACAAAGAAGTCTTTTCAACCATATCTCAGTTTATTACTCATGAGGTATCCAAGGAAGGGCTCCTAGACTGCTTCAGGTGTAGCTGGTCACCAGAAGACCACACATGTGACTGGGGGGTGGGAACTTTCAGCCCCACCTCCTGACCTCTGGGAAGCAGAAGGAGAGTAAAGATGGAGTTTGAAAAGCTCTTAGCGATGAGATTCAGAGAACTTCTGAGTTGCTATACCCATCAAGGTGCTGGGTGGAGGGCATGCCAGAAAAGTCACAGGAGCTCTGAGTGCCATGTCCCCTATCTCCCTTTCCCTATAAATCTCTTCCATTTG